GGATTTTTCCCTCTAAAACGATTCATACCGAGCATAGCTCGGTGGCCACGATATGCTCGCTGAAAAGAGCTATCCGAATTAGGGTCATGAGCGCGATTTCGATATCTGTAGTCAAAGTTATGGCCAAATTACTATAACTCATTCAAATGTCGCCCTATTAGGAAAAGACTACGTTCACTTGCTATATTTGAGTTGATCTGCCAACTAGTGATATTTTAGCTCAATCAACTTGCTGTCTGATAATTGATAGTCATCTGAGTCGAATGCTCCTGCATCATCTTGTTATCTAAATAAAGGCATACCCTTCCCATTTCCGAATGTTAGCAAGACATTTGATTTTTGTGATAACCTGTGTATCAAATCTTTGATGAGATCGTAGATGACTCTTTTATCCTTACTTTTATGGTAGAAAGTCATCCATAGTAAGAAATAACAAAAATGCTAGTTGTACATCAAGAATTGTACATAATGATGTACATCACATTCACATGGGGGTGGGACCCACGTGTATAAAATATTTTTTTATTCGAGGGGGTCCCACCTCCCATGTGAGTATGTTGTACACGCATATGTACACCTTGATGTATCGATAACAAAATCGAAGAAATAAAGTACACAGTAACACAAACAATTGAAACGTTCAATGGGCCCACTCACCTACTCACCCAACAAGGCAACAACTTGTCCATTTGGACCTCAGTCTTTAGGTATTAACGTTACGGTATTTCGGAAAATAGGCCCTTGTTTTTGTTTGAGCTATATTCTTTAAAAAAACTCATTTTTTTTCTAAATTCAATTTTAATAATACTTTTTTTAGATAAAATAATATTACGCCCGTTTGATCCACATTATTTTTCTCATTCACATTCTTCTACTCATTTACAATCACACATTTTTCAATAAAATAATATTTTACATCACATCAATAATTTTTAATATGCACCAAAGAGGCAAATTGAAATTTTTTTCCTTCTATTTCACGGTACATTCTTTAGAAAATTACTATTTTAAAATATATTTTTCTTTAAAAGTGGCTGCCAAATGACCTTTAATCCTAAAATTATAAAGAATTACTGTGGTGGCATAGGTGGGCCCTGGTGGTGCTCCACCAATTTCCACCTACTACGGCCACCAACTATTTGTTTTCTTCTGCAGAAATTTACTTTGACAAAATTAACCCCCAGACAAAAATCTGGTGATTTAGCACAAGCGCTCTATGGAGTGCGTGGATCCACTCTCCCGTGGCTCTTGGTCGAAGATTCAGTCCATATTCATTCATCCTTGTTAGAGCTGACCGTTCCGGGTCGGGTCGGGTCGGGTCATCAAATACCTTTCGTCTTTTATTAGTAGAAGACAAAAATTCGATTTCGACTTTTGAGCTCAACATGGGTCGAGTTATCTAGAGATGCAGGAGTGTGGGTCTCCACATAGTTCTTTTACTTAATAAATGAACCAAAAATATAAAAATACTATCTTTCAGTGGTCCATCCAGCACGATCAGATGATATTAGACTAATAAAAAGATCACAATGACCACCTAAAGAAAGTTGAGATGACAACATTATACAAGTTTCACGTAGTTCTTGTGATATCCTACCATTTTAAAGTGACTTTGTAATGTATGTATGTTTTAGCCATAAACATAAATAAGTAGAGGTGGCAAATTGCTCGAGAGGCTCGTTGGCTCGGCCACTCTACTCGTGAAAACACGAGCCTCGAGCCGTTCGGTTTCGTCAAATGACGAGCCGCTCTGCTCGTCGAGCTCGCGAGCAACTCGTGGTCTCGTAAAAAAATAAAAAAAAATTTTAAAAAACGTGAAAAGGTAAAAAAAAAATCATAAAGCTCGTGAGCTCGAGCTCACCCATGAGCAAACGAATCGGCTCGAATCGTGAGCTCGTGGGTTTAAGGGCCGAGCCGGCTCGGCCCATTGCCATGACTATAAATAAGTAGTTCATATATTTCATTTCTATAAATAATTTACTGACACATTTTCTATCTTGTTAAAATATTGTCCATTCAAATCATTTGAAATATAAAATATAATTGAATTACAAAATAATAAGAGGTAAAATGTGACTATTTGCACGATGGCAACGTAACTTGACCGAATTATCTACGGCTCGATTTTGTGATTTTTCTTAATGCGTTGAACTCCACAAATTTTTCAAGAATACTGATAATTATAGGCATTGTTTGTTTCGGATTAAAATCAGATTTTAATTTAAGTCAAAACCAAACAATCAATATTAACATCATCTTTTATGGGTCCCACAACTTTTCAACCAGACATTTCAAAAACGTGTACCACAATCTACTAAAAATTTAGTTTTAATCCCCACCAAACACCAATATAAAAATTTTCTGCCCGGAAAAAGACAAAAATAACCCTCGCCAAACATATCCTCCCGGCCGCACTTGGAAAAATTTAGGCCCTGTTCTCTTTGTCGTTTTCGGATCGTTTTCTGTTTTCAATTTTCCAAAATAGTGAAAACGCGTTCTCTTTCCTATTTTCGAAAACAAAAAAAAAATTGTACTAAAAATCCAAAACGAGGAAAATATCGTTTTGGACATTTTCTGTGTTATCTACAGTAAAAATTCCAAAACACGCGAAACAACCTTTTGTCCTGGCTTCTCGCTTCCGAACTCAGAGTNCTCTGTTTGAGTAGCATGGTCCTAATTTCATGGATCCCAAAATTCAATTCCGGGGTTGGTAAAATACCCCAACTAAGCCTCTGTCAACACTCTCTCCAAAAGCGCGTGATCTATTTCTATCCCCGTTGGACTTTCTATTAAAATAAGCAAAAATGATACAAAAATAAGCAAAAACCAAAAAATCTCACTTTCCCAGATCTACCACGGCAACAAACCATTTTCCCTATAAATAATGCCTATAACCTCTTCGCAAAATCGCGTCATCAACTCCTCTCTATCTCTAACGCACTCTACAAGGAACCAGTACCTGTGACCCCTCGCTTCTCCCTCTTCCGGAAGGTACTCGCACCACCCATTTCATTCATGGTGTTTATTGTTTTTGTTAAGTTCTCTCTTTTCTCTGTTTGTTTCAACATTTTTTTATTTTTTTTTGGATATTTTTAGTGTATTTTCATCAACCCTTTGCCCATTTTTCGTGTTTGTAAAGTTTTTTTGGTAGGAGAATAGAGAAAATAAGAATAATTTTTTTTTTTTTTTGGTAGTATTGAATTAGATCTTACTGGTAAGAATCTGCATTCAATGCTAAGTGTTTAAATGCTTTTCATGTTAAAGTGCTACCAAATGGGTGTACTTCTGCTATAATTAGGATATATATATGTATGGGCACTGAAAATAATTTTGTGGATAATAGGTGCTCACATGTCATTTTAGGAACTACTATTTGGGAGATAAGGGATATGTCATATGTGGGATTCAGTTTTTTACGGAATTTGTGTTCACCAGTAGAAACCGATAGATCTAGTGATATGGGGCGGTGGAATTTGTAGATCGATCTTTGCTTGGTAATGTATCTGATATGAAGTGGGTTTTGGGTGTGGTGAGATCGGTTAAATTTGTTGGCATTATGAGGCACTTCCATGTTTCAAAAATGTACTCTTTTATGCTTTCTTAGATCTGAAGTTGTTATAAAGCTTTTTGTATATTTGAATTATTTGTTGATTGTTCCTAGACTTAACATGTTGATCATGTATGTTGGTGTCGCGTCTATGTATTAATATTTGTAAAATAACATTTGAAATAGCATTGGTCATCTTAGGGAGGCAAGAAAAAAGCATCTGCAAGCTACAAAATGTGCACTTGACAATATAGTTTATGCATAGACGATAAGTACTACGAAGCAGTAACATTCTGTGATTAATGAATAATTGGTGTTTGCTTTAGGATTGATCTGAAATTTGAATTTGAACAGAACAATGGCGTCTCACATTGTTGGATACCCCCGTATGGGTCCCAAGAGAGAGTTGAAATTTGCTCTTGAATCCTTCTGGGATGGCAAGAGCAGTGCTGAGGACTTGCAGAAGGTGGCAGCCGACCTCAGGATATCCATCTGGAAGCAGATGACTGATGCTGGCATCAAGTACATCCCCAGCAATACATTCTCTTATTATGATCAGGTTCTTGACACCACTGCAATGCTTGGTGCCGTCCCCACGAGGTACAGCTGGACTGGTGGTGAAATTGGATTCGATACTTATTTCTCCATGGCCAGAGGAAATGCTTCTGTGCCTGCTATGGAAATGACCAAGTGGTTTGACACAAACTAGTAAGTAATAGATGAAATCTCTTGCAAATCTTCAAATTTTGATTCTGCTGATGTTCAACCATTGATCAATGTTGATGTGTTGATCCAGCCATTTCATTGTCCCTGAATTGGGACCTGATGTGAAGTTCTCCTATGCTTCTCACAAGGCTGTGGACGAATACAAGGAGGCTAAGTCGGTATGTGAGATTCTAACATCTCGTATCTAAGTTGGAAAAATGATCATAGAGCAAAATGTTTTTAGGAAATTGCAATCAATATGAACGGTTGGAATATAGACTATTCTATAGTTCATGATCCACGTAAAGTTGCATGTACTCTTGTGTTATAGTTTATTTAAAAATCTGTTTATTATGTTTACAGTACATGACTTGATTGATTGGATGTTTTCCTTCATGCAGCTTGGTGTAGATACAGTTCCAGTACTTATTGGCCCTGTCACATACCTATTACTCTCAAAACCTGCAAAGGGTGTTGAGAAAACATTCCCTCTTCTTTCTCTTCTTGACAAAATCCTTCCTATCTACAAGTAAGAACTATTTTATTGTTGATCTCTTCGTATGCCATTTTACTCATCGTCATTAGCATTAAATGTACAACCACCCCTTCAGGGAAGTAATTTCCGAGTTGAAGGCTGCTGGTGCTTCATGGATTCAGTTTGATGAACCTACCCTAGTGAAAGACCTTGAGTCTCACCAATTGGAAGCATTCACGAAGGCCTATGCTGAACTGGAATCGTCCCTATCTGGCCTTAATGTTCTCATTGAGACCTACTTTGCTGATGTCCCAGCAGATGCATTCAAAACACTTACTGCTCTAAAGGGAGTTAGCGCTTTTGGTTTTGACTTGGTTCGTGGAACCCAGACTCTCGAACTGATAAAGGGTGGATTTCCATCGGGCAAGTACCTGTTTGCCGGAGTGGTTGATGGAAGGAATATTTGGGCAAATGATCTTGCTTCATCTCTCAGCATCCTGCAAACTCTGGAAGGCATTGTAGGAAAAGGTAGGTTCGGCAAGCTTGTATTTTAAGCTGTACACTTTATTTCTATCGAGAATAACATTTTCCCATGATTTTGTTATGCAGGCAAGCTTGTTGTCTCCACGTCTAGTTCACTTCTCCACACTGCTGTTGATCTCGTCAATGAAACTAAGTTGGACACAGAAATAAAATCATGGCTTGCATTTGCTGCCCAAAAGGTTGTTGAAGTAAATGCTTTGGCAAAGGGATTGGCTGGTCAGAAGGATGAGGTATGCTTATACTGTAATTTTTGAAATTGATACAGGGAGTTGTTTCATAATAGAACCTTAAATTTGGTCTCAAAGTTTCTCTCCCATTGATTCTAGTTTTATTTTTAATATTTACTCTGTTTTTATTGACTCTGTGTCTGTCTCCTGTCATTTTCTTTTCAGGCATTCTTTTCTGCTAATGCTGAAGCTCAGGCTTCCAGGAAATCCTCTCCCAGGGTGAATAATGAAGCCGTCCAGAAAGCTGTAAGTGATTCATTTGCATATTTGTTCTTTTAGACTTTGGTGGCTATTTTGCTGCATAAATCTTGTGCTTACCTACCTATGCTTGTTTTTTCATCTTACTCAGGCTGCTGCTTTGAAGGGTTCTGACCACCGACGTGCTACAAATGTTAGTGCTAGGCTAGACACCCAACAAAAGAAGCTTAATCTTCCTATTCTCCCAACCACAACTATCGGTTCCTTCCCTCAGACCATTGAACTCAGAAGAGTTCGACGTGAATACAAGGCCAAGAAGTGATTGATTTCTGACTATTATTCACTCTGTATTTAAACATTCCTTTAGAATCTTCTCCTGAATGTATGATATTCCCCTCGTAGGATATCCGAGGAAGAATATGTTAATGCAATCAAAGAGGAAATCAGCAAAGTTGTCAAGATCCAGGAAGAGCTTGATATTGATGTTCTGGTTCATGGAGAACCTGAGGTAAGACTATACCCGTGCAAAAAAGTAGTACTTTTGTTGTTAACACAAAAAGGGTACATCATTTTGGTGCATGCTTGATACATCAAAGAGTTCTAAAATGTTAACCTTCTGGATGTCAATATTTCAGAGGAACGATATGGTTGAGTACTTCGGAGAGCAATTGTCTGGTTTTGCCTTTACTGCTAATGGGTGGGTGCAATCTTATGGATCTCGCTGTGTGAAGCCCCCAATCATTTATGGTGATGTGAGTCGTCCCAAGCCAATGACTGTCTTCTGGTCCACTGCTGCCCAGAGCATGACCAAGCGCCCGATGAAGGGAATGCTTACTGGCCCTGTTACCATTCTCAACTGGTCTTTTGTTCGAAATGACCAGCCAAGGTAATTGGAAACTACTCTGTGTTTCCTTAGTCATTATTCCTAATTAGGAGAGAAGAATAGATGGATGGAATATTTTAATTTATCGTTTTCATAATTTAATACATTATTAACTTGATACATAATTTCCCTATTCTCAGATTCGAAACTTGCTATCAGATTGCTTTGGCCATTAAGGATGAAGTGGAGGATCTCGAGAAGGCAGGCATCACTGTTATCCAAATTGATGAGGCTGCATTGAGAGAAGGCTTGCCCCTTAGGAAGTCCGAGCATGCATTCTACTTGGATTGGGCCGTCCACTCTTTCAGAATCACCAATGTTGGCGTTCAGGACACGACCCAGGTAAAGCCTTGCATTTCCTTGTCCTCGATACCCATGTGCTATAGTTTCTGTTTGTTGACGAGATAATTTTCTTTCGTTTCCAACAGATCCACACCCACATGTGCTACTCTAACTTCAATGATATCATCCACTCTATTATTGACATGGACGCTGATGTGATCACCATTGAGAACTCTCGTTCTGATGAGAAGCTCCTTTCAGTTTTCCGTGAGGGAGTGAAGTATGGTGCTGGAATTGGCCCAGGTGTTTACGATATCCACTCGCCCAGAATACCATCAACAGAAGAAATTGCTGACAGAATTAACAAGATGCTTGCAGTGCTCGAAACCAACATCTTGTGGGTTAACCCCGACTGTGGTCTCAAAACTCGTAAGTACGCTGAAGTGAAGCCGGCCCTACAGAACATGGTTGCCGCTGCCAAGCAACTCCGGACACAACTTGCCAGTGCCAAGTGAGCCGCTTAAGGGGACATATCTGAAATCTGTTGGGTCCATTGTTTCTTATTAAGGGAATTTTCTATTGGCTTAATAATCACGGTTTGTTCAGTAGGCATAGTCTGCCGAGTGTGCATTTCAATTTCTACCTTTTTTTTTCTTGTTTCTGGGCTTTCTTTTTAATTTTTTCCAAAAAATATATTCCTGTCTTTCGAGTAATATTGCCTTTGATACCTTTAAAACGGTTAATGAATGGGAAGTTCAAATGCTATTTTTTATTCTACAATCACATTTTGTTAAATGTCTTTTGGCTGTTATTTATTTTTTAAAAATGTTAAATTTAAATTAACTCTTTCTTACCGTCAAAATAAATAATTAACTTATTTAATATTTTATTTACTCAAAAACATTATTTTTCTTAAGACTACTACTTAATTTACTTATGAGTAAAATTATTTTTAAGTAGGAAGGTGAATTATGAAACCAAAGCACGATCAAACTTTGTTGAGATGCAACTATGTGTCTTCATTTACCAAGATAATGCAAGCCGACTGCTTCAGAAAAAAAGCAACAAGTAGAAAATCAAAGTGTCTTGACAATGAGGCTAGATTTTGAAGATAACTAGATTTTTTTGACAATTATTTGATCTCGTTGATTTGAATCTTGCTACATGTATATTTTAGTTTACACTTTGGTTTACACGTTGTCACGTGTCATTACTCAATTGGAAAATTTAAATTTTAAACAACTTTTTCATCCAATTGACACTTGACAACAATGAAAGTGTCAACCAAAGTGTAAAACGTCAGGGTACAAATAACAAAGTCCTATTGATTTTTAATTTAGGGGTTGTTTGATAAATTTTTCTACAAATGTTTTAGCAAATTTTGATAAAAGTTCATGAAATATTTAATTGAAAATTTTATAAAAGTTGATGAAATATTATCATCTTCTTAGAAACCCCTTCAATCCCCAATTGTGCGTCATGAAGTCTAGTTCATCTTATGTTACGTAAACCTTTTAATTTTCAGTTTAATACAAAATTAACATATATTTTAATTGGATTAGCGTTTATTATTGTGGGGTTTATTTAACACTATAGAAGAAGGTGATATTATTTCATAACTATGACAACCAAAACTTGAAAGAATTTCCTATATACATTTTATATTTTATTATTTTTGGTAACTCGATAAAGACTTTTTTATCTTCTTGTGGGCGTGCCCATAGAAGAAAAACCAGTTGTGAGTCATATGAGTTTTATCTTAGAGTTGTGTAGTGTCGAAAGTACTCGCAACAAGATGAAGCAACACGACTTTAGGACAACGTTCTTGAGGTGACTCCTTAAGATTTGCTTTTCTAACTCTCTCTTCTTATTGTTGAATTATTTGCATGAATATATTATGATAATTGATAAATATCTACACACAAATTACCTATTTTCCCAACAAATCTTACCACAGAGAGAGAGAGAGAGACACAAGTTCAAATGTTCCCTCTTCGGTACAACAATAGCATCAACAAGGCAAGCTTACTCCTAACCTAGATCTGAAACATCATGCGTTGGAATCCAATTGTCACACATTCTCCAAACAGAAAAGGGATTTTTGTATGAATATATTTCTTCAAACAGATTTAAGTAAGGCTTGGATAGTGGATCCTGTTGTAAACATTGATAAATTCAAGGAGGGGAAGCTTAAATGGAGCTGAATTTATTGAACTAAAAACACCAGAGGCCAACATAAATTATTGAACGAGAATTAAAACAGAGGAGAAAGGATAGGCCTGCTGCAAATGAGCAGGGAAGAAGAAGAACTTCATTCAGTCTTGCTTGCTTAAGAATTACAATGCATAAGAACTCTATTTATAGAAGAAAAAGCTAACCAATCTTGTGGGCGTGCCCATAGAAGAACCAGTTGTGAGTCATATGAGTTTTATCTTAGAGTCGTGTAGTGTCTAAAGTACTCGCAAGAAAGGGAAGCAACACGACTTTAGGACAACGTTCTTGAGGTGGTTCCTTAAGATTTGCTTTTCTAACTCTCTCCTCTTGTTGTTGAATTATTTGCATGAATGTATTATGATAATTGATAAATATCTACACACAAATTACCTATTTTCCCAACAAATCTTACCAGAGAGAGAGAGAGAGACAAAAGTTCAAATGTTTCCTCTTCGGTACAACAATAGCATCAACAAGGCAAGCTTACTCCTAACCTAGATCTGTAACGTCTTCCGTTGGAATCCAGTTGTCACGTAGTCTCCAAACAGAAGGGATTTTTGTACAAATATATTTTCTTCAAACAGATTTAAGGCTTGGACAGTGGATCCTGTTCTAAACATATTGAAGCAAGATGAAAAAAGACCTAAAGAGTTTAGAGTCTAGATCAGCGCATCAGGCTTAGATCTGGTTGGAATGTTGATTACCACTTCAACTAAATCAGGTGGCAGGGCTGCCCTAAGTTTGGTATCGTCCCAAATGTTACGTGCCATGCCAAAATCTATGACATACTCGTTTGGAGAGTGGGCTTGAAGGACTCTTATAGACAAGGGCTCTGATTTTGACCATTTATCATGCCAAAGTGATAATCTACAAGTTCTAATTTTCCAAGCTAGGTGTGATTCCACTTCGTGTTTACCAGTTGGAACAATCTCTTCTATGAGGGAGAATCTTGGCTTTTAGGAGCAACTTGGCTGGCATGAATCTTATTGTAACGACCCGGGTCCCACTTAACGGGCTGTCCTGGCCGTTAGATCGACGACGTACTGTCCTCACCGTACCAACATGGGTCTTTTCAGCATGCTTTGTCCTCACTCGCACGCTCCCCGAAAAAACTTC